TTAATGCGAGAACGTAGTTAATTACGCTCTCGCCGGCGCTACGTGCCCTTCGAGAAGCTTACTGAGAAATGACGGCGATAAAAATGGCTTGGGGAAAAGCACGCGTATATAATGACCGCTCTTAAGCTCGTATCACACTACGGATTGAGATTGGATTGAAATTTAATTGATCATAAAGCCCGTATCAGACTTTGATTAAGATTGAGATTGGGTATTGAAATTTAATCAATCGGTATAAAGAAAATCAATCTCAATTTTTGTGGACTTTGCTCCGATCGATCAGATTTCAATCCAAGCTTTAAAGCCCGTATCAGACTCCGATTAAGACCGAGCTTGGAAATTTGAAATTTGACTAATCGGAGGGAAGTTGACAAAAAATTGAAATTAGTTTTCTTCATTGATTAAACTTCAATCCAATTTCAATCCCAATCCGTAGTGCGATACGGGCTTAACGAAGAAAACTAATTTCAAGTTTAGTGAACTTTGCCCCTCCCCCGCCGTTTGCTCTGTCAAATTTCAATCCAATTTCAATCCTAATCCCGTAATCTGATACGGGCTTTGAAGTTGCGATAATATAATTTACATTTACGATACGATCCGTCTCGTGCGGAGAAATCGATACGTCGCGGCCACTTTGTCTTTCAACTTCACGGCAAACGGGCGCTAAATCAGCACCTGTCTGTAATTAGCGTCCAGGAATAGCTCGCGTTACTTCTAAAGATTCACGCGCTGTCACAATTTTCCGGAAATACATTTTAAGAACCGCCGCGTGCGATTTATATCACCGGCTGCGTTTTTTTTTTTTTTTTTTTTTTTTCGAAGCAACGAGCAAAACGACACGCGTGTCGTTCACGCGCGTAGTTCGATAATTAAAAAAAAAGGAGGATTGCTCGATAGGTGGATTGTCGCATTAAACGCGCGCACGCACTTTTGGAGAAGAATCAAAATTTATTTTTACTACGCGCGATATATTATCGTCGCGGGAGATACGCGGCGTATCTCCGTAAATCGCGCAACGAATCCCGTGATGAATTACGCGGCCGGTCGCGTAATTCATTCCTCGTTAATATTCACGCGCGCGATCCTCAAAGTGGTCTGAGAACTCCTTATTTATGCGGCCGGCAATTAAACCGCGCGAATGCATCATCGTGCTATTTCCGCCGGTATTATCATGCGCCTCGTTGCCCCGCGTTATTCGGCATCGCGTCAGTGGAAATGTTTACGGAAACTCGTGCGACCGAGATTTCTGCGGATAACCCGTTAATTAGGCCGGAATGTAATTATCTTGTTTTTGTTACGTTACCTGAAAGGGAGTGAAACGCACACATTTCAATGATACGCCGGCATTCGAGCGATGTGAACTGCTGTCCGTAAAGAGACTCTGGCCCTGACAGGGCCGAATAAGATGTTCCAAAGGCCAAGATATGAGTCGAGATGGCGTTTAAAAATTCACATTTTACGTACAAAAATAACTATGGTTATTACACTCGTTTGGATATCTTGAAACGTACTCAATACCTTATACCTTATTATATTAGTAATGATATACTTATTACATTAGTATGTGTAACTCGTGTAACATAGACACTGAGAGAGCTAAACTTTGTACTGTTTTCGATTTTAAAGGCTGACCAACTCACAGAGGAACAAATCGCAGAGTTTAAGGAGGCGTTCTCGCTATTCGATAAAGACGGCGATGGTACTATAACCACCAAAGAATTAGGCACGGTCATGCGGTCCCTCGGTCAAAATCCCACAGAAGCCGAACTGCAGGACATGATTAATGAAGTAGACGCAGATGGTACGTATCCTTACGTAATTTTCGATCGCGTGTGAGTCGTAATGCGCATCACGAATCATTTCGCACATGAAAAAATCGATCGTTTTTGCTCTACTCCTCCATTTCCATTCGCGATTGTTTGCTTCCGCTAAGAAAAATGTTAATATTTCCGGGAGGAGTTACTTTTTCGTTCTTCCGCAAGATATTTGAAGCATCTTTTCTTCTTATTAAAAGAGGAAAATAAACAACGCTTTTTAGTAGAATCGACGTTGTATATAAATCCTGAAATTCTAGGTAACGGCACAATCGACTTCCCGGAGTTCTTGACCATGATGGCGCGCAAAATGAAGGACACGGATAGCGAGGAAGAGATTAGAGAGGCCTTCAGAGTGTTCGATAAGGATGGAAATGGTTTCATATCCGCGGCGGAACTTAGACACGTCATGACAAATCTGGGCGAGAAACTCACTGATGAGGAAGTAGATGAAATGATACGGGAGGCCGATATCGACGGCGACGGCCAAGTTAATTATGAAGGTTGTACCGCATCGCTTTTATCTATTAGCGTAAAATAAAACTCATTGTCGATAATGTCGCGTGTAGAACTTTTTTTAACTGTATGTCGTTTTACGATTCCATATTGAGAGAATGATTGCAACGTTAAATCCTATACTTACAATTAAAATATATGTGTCGAACAGCTTGGATTGTAACGTTAAAAGCGAAATAAAATTTCCAACGATACGATAACGAGTAATTTTTACATTTACATAAACGATTTCTCGTCAACATAATCTCGTTTTCCGCGAATCAATATGATTCTTAAAAAAGCAGTTTACGCGGTTACGCAGTTGGTCCACATGTATCTTCTCGTAATTTCTCTCGCTTTTGACGTCACGATAAGAGATATTTGACGAATCTGTTTACTTTTTCACCGTTATTAGCAAAACTGTCGTATTTTGCTGGCTTAGGCATAATGTAAGCTAACACACGCGTAACTAACGAGACATTTCTTTCCTTGTATTTTCCAGAATTCGTCACAATGATGACATCAAAGTGAATGCAACCTGTGTAACGGAAGAACTCGCGACTCGGAGTGGTGTTGACGTATTAAATAAATCAAGAAACAGAGAAAAAAAACATATGTAACAAAACGAGAATCAACCAGAAAGTGACAAATCTTGTATCAGGATGCGAAGATGTCTATAAAAGCGCGAAGAGTCAACGTCCGATACCGCGTTAAAATCATCATCGTTAACGATAAGTAATACAGGGCAATTAATTGTTTAATTAAAGAGTTATACCACTAAAATCATTATCTCTCAAAACACTAATATTTACGCGTGTATACATACACACATGACACTGACTCGTTACACAGATACACGTTACGAACGCAACACGCTCCAAGAGTATACACACATACCCACATACATATTCACTCGGATGTCTTATTTCCATTGGATAAAACAAATTTGGAAATGAGATAACGCGAAGACACACAATTGCGCGCGCATGTGCACTAACGATAAAGAAAAAAAAAGTGCATTTTCCACTTTCCTCTCTTTCTCGACTGCCCCCCCTCCCATTTCCCTCTCCTCTTGTCGCGTCCTTCGGCACCATCTTGCTCCCCTCGCCACCCCTCATCCTCCTTCGTTTCCCCAGAAGTTTTGTCATGAGAAAGGCATGTCGAAGAATTGTAATTTCTCTTTACAAAGGGAGAGGAAATGTGTGTGTTAAGGGACAAAGTATAAATCCGATGTAAGATAATATTAAAAGCAGCAAAAGTTTATTTGCCAATCGAGAGTAAGATTCATCTCGAGAATTCCTTCGTTCATTTTTTTAATAAACGAGATACGTGTATAGTGAATGATGACATTAGGATACGTAGCTGCTAAATAGATGATGATGTCTCTACCGTTAAAATGCATGCACATGTACAAATGTTTGTTTGTCTCTGTGAGAGAGAATTCGGCCTGGACCGATCGTTTTCCAGACAGAGAGAAAAGAGCGAGAGCGAGAGAGAGAAAGAGAGAGAGAGAGAGAGTATAAATACGATGCGCTTCGGCCTCTGGGTTATTGATGACGACTTTACATGCAAAAGCTGTGCTGGACCCCTCGATGCCTCACAAACGAATAACTTAATTTATATAAGTAACGAGCGAGAAAATTTATAAAAAAAGTGATGAAAGAGAAAGAGAGAGAGTGAGAGAGAGAGAGAGAGAGAGAGAGAGAGAGCGAGATAAGGTGGAGGAAAGAAAGAATCGGAGGAGCTTCGAGGAGCTCAGACCTAGTGCTTTCGCGCGCGTCGCGTCTTGCGGAACGGGATGTGATCTGTCGGGCGGATGACATCACGGGAACGCGAACGACGAGTCGCGGCGCGATCGTTGGAAAGCTCCAGGATCCGAAGTCTCGACATTCCTATTTGAAAAAATAAAAAAAAAATAAAGAAAAGTCTCTTCCTTACGCTTTCAACATCATCCAGCCTCTCGTGCTCGTGCACACGGGACTCACACGTACACGTATGTTTTACGAACTATACTTACGCGAGAAACTATACACACGAAAGATTATACACACAGAGCAAAAAAAAAGAGAAACACTATAATACTATATTCACAAAGTGCGTTTTGCCTCCAGTTCCATTTTAATCTCCTATTTGTAAAACTTGCCTTCCACTCTAAGGAAAGCCTTACATACATGCGCGCAAAAAAAAAAGATACAAAAATGTGGGGAAAAAAAAGAGAAACAACGTCGACACCACTTTTGTTGATAATGTAAATCTAATGGAGAAATAAAATAGGGATGGGGGATTAAAGGAAGTAAAGGCCACAGTGAGATCGGTGCATTACTTTTCTTCGCCCAGGGGTGCGTGCCAGTCTCGTAAAAACGGAGCCAACCAGATCGGAGAAACTGGTGTGATTTTTGTGCGATCCGTACAATATAATGTTACTTAAGAACTCGAGAGCAAAGAACATAAATGCCGTACAGCGTAAACATCATGCGTGTCGGTGGTTCAGTCATAATATATATGTAATATATATATATATATATATATAAAATAATTTACGAAGAAATTAAGAAAAAAAATATGAAAGAGATAATTCCTCCACAGTCCTTTATTATTTAATATTGAAGTGAACAAAATGAGAAGTACTTGTATTTCTGGTGACCTAGATCGCATTGATCATTAAACAAAAAAGGAAAAAAAAAGATAAAAAAAAGTAAAAAAGACAAAATAAATGTATATCCTCATTTTTAGGTCACAGCTACTCGATTCGTTTCCTTCATTACTAATGGACCTCTCGTTTCAGCAACCATCTCTTTTTGTGTTCGATGGCATCTAGATACTTTGCTATGAGAATATTTCATTGTGTATCTATGAACAGGATCCACTTTACATATCTCTGACTTTTCTCGCTACCCTCGAAAACTTTTTGAGAAGAATAGATATAGGTTACAAGAAAGTACGGTATTAATTGTAATTAGGAAATCTCGCTCCCCATTAAACACCCGAAAAAAAATATAGGGGGAGAGAAAAAGAGAAGCACACATTGGGTCTATTTGTAAAACTGTGGTTATTCTGTGTCCGAGGTATATTTCCACACTTACACTTTATTAAGAATGAAAAAGATTGTCAACAACACACACTCGTTTTTGTAAAAGTGGTCGTTAGTATTCGACAGGCATCTGTATCTAAATGCTTCCAAAATCCGCTTCGTTTCATCGAACACTGATACCTAGCGATTAAGTCTCTTACGTTACAAAGACTCTATTCCAGTATTTAATATAATAGTAATTTTATATCCGTATCGCAAAATCTATTTATTGAAAGAATTTTCGCGCGCCGAGGATAGAGATAGAGCGAGAGAGAGAGAGAGAGAGAGAAAGAAAGAGTGGCGCATGGAAGCTCTTGTTGTGAACGTTAACATCGAGGCAATGCCAAATCTTTACCGAATAATATTGAAGCGTTAGCTCTTCTAATATTTAATTTAGCGTCCCCTCGATCTTTGTTATTGAAATACACGTTGTTGTTCTTAAAAAAAAAAAAAAAAACATCGTTTATACCGTATTTGCGGAGGTACCAAGACACATCCTGCTTCTATCGAACGTTTGTATTTATTTCGATGTGTACATACGAACGTAAAATTGATCGACGAAGTGAGTTTTCAATTCGATTATGCTAATCGCAATTTTAAAAATGAGCAAGCTCGTTGCGCTATAAACAAGGTGAGAACGTTGTACGTTGCAAAGTGAGGAGATTCTTTTTCTATCAGATTATTTCGAATATGTAGACTCTGTGCTCGTTTTTTTTTTTTTTTTTTTACTACTTTGAACGTATTCATTCAATTTAACGCTCCTTGATTTCTCAGACTTCTAATTCGAAAATTGTTTCTAGTGTATGTAAGTATATTCTCTGCCGTATCTCAAAGGCGTTCTTCACTTCTTGTCGTACATAAATAAAGCGGCACAGTTTGTATAAAGTGTTGATATTAAGTTAATAAATTGTTCCTATATACTTATATGGGAGCAAACTGGTGTTTATCTATAATACAAGCGATTTTATCTCCCTGACAAAAATAACGACCAAGTGTATCTGATGTAAACGAAAAAAAAAAAAAAAAAATGCGGGATATCTCTTACACATGATTACGGACAAACCTTACAACTGCGCCATTCTGTGCAATTATGCGCCGAGAGATAAATGCGTGTTATTTTCGTCTGATTACGCTCCAGCAATTAATGGTCGAACTTACCAAGATATGAAGTTGTCTTACTGAGAAATAAGAAAGGGCAGCAATTTTCTTTTTCTTTTTGTTTGAAAAATACTATATTTTTCGTACATGTCTTTTTTTAAACTCGTGTAACATAATAACAAAATTCGATGATTACGCAGATATGTTTTGCTAGTTGCGAACAACGCGTGCTCTCACGATACACACTCTTTTGGTGTAACTTTGAAACGTAGGCACACCTCCTTCAACAAATTTTTCAGTATCCTCACCTGGTGTTCGGAGCTCTGAAAACGCACATCGTTTAGTCAGTTCGACGTATCGTTGCATTATATACTTTTTATTTAGCGATCACAAAGCGAAACAACACTCACCCCGTCGAGAGTAATCGTCGGTATGAAAGACACCCGCGGCACGAGAGAATTCGTCATCTCTCCGTACTTGGCCAAGAGTTCCTTTCCCCTTGCGGTGCTCGTACACTTCTTCATAGACTCCAGGTCCACGGATATACGCCCGGCGCACGTATTCATTATTCCAACCGGGTCAATGTTATTCTCGATCATGCAAGCCACAAATTGCAGTCGCACCGATGGGTCCTCAATGACGTCGATGGAGCAAGCGTGCACGATGTTCGCCTGGCATTCGATCGGTCCGTGCTGGCACATGAACTGGTACCCATCGTTTGTCTTCACCGTCTATATCGGAAATCGAATAATGTAACTTTAGAGGAAGCTTTGCCGTTCCATTTGATCCACCGATCTAATTGTTTCGATTGACTGCAGGTTCTCCCTCGCGATATATTTAGTCATATTATTTGACAATATAATACGAAAGATTGATAACAGCGATGCAAGTTGATCGCAACGAATTTTCTTACCTTTGCCTTACCGTACGGTACCAGTTCGATTTGCACGTTCGCCGGGAGTTTTCGATACGTCGGGACCAATTGTTTTAAAACGAAGCTACGCGAGTCCGGGCATAACGCTTCGTAATACACAGCCACGTGCACTTTCTGAGAAGCCGGGTCATCCTTTTCGCTCAACGGCGTCGCCGCTTGGTTCACCTGAAGTTCTGCATAAAATAAAATAAAAATATTAAGAAACACCTAGTCCGTGCCTATCTCGTTAACTTTCGGTTTGAAAATATAAATGAGATGTACACATAAATCATTCGATACTTTCAAGATTCTTTAACTTTAATAATCGATTTTTACCGTTATTAAATAAACAATCATTATTTCGGTCAGGTAGGATTATTTTCTGCAAGAAATATCAAATTTTTCTTATAATTTCAAAAGACATTTGTGAAAGCACGATTAGAAAATTAGCAATATTAAAAAATGTTTGTGTTCATCTCGTTAATTTTGGTTTGAAAATATGAGTGAGACGTGTATATAAATTACGAATACTTTCAAATTTCTTCAATTTTTAATGACCGATTTTCACCATTATGGATAAGCAATCGTTATTTCGGTTCAGTAGGATTAGGTTTCGCAAGAAACCGTGATTTCTTCTCGTAATTTCGAGTTCTACGTAAAATTTCAATATTCGACAAACATCTGCGATAGCGCGATTAGAAAATTAGCGATAGGAAATGTTTAAAAATATGAATGAGACGGTGTGTATAAATTATAGTATTTTCAATATTCTTTAATTTTTAGTACTTTTTAATAGTTGATTTTTACAACTACTGAACAAACAATTGTTACCTCGAGTATTTTAGGATTATTTTCCACGAGAGATCATAAATTCTTTTTATAATTTCGAATTCCGCATAAAAAAATTTCAGTATTCGAAAGATTTGCAATAGTGCGATTAATTAAGAAAATTGGCGATATTAGAAAATGTTTGTGTTTATATTGATTCGAAAATATGAATGAGACGCGTATATAAATTATAATTTCAAGATTCTTCAGTTTTTAATAACTGATTTTATCATTTATTTATCATTATACCGAGACAAAGGTAATCGCTATCTCGAGCTCGATCGTTGTATCGTCGTTGCGTTATCTCGCGATCATCCTCATCGTGGATCATTTGTCGCGTAAAACGGAAACCGCGCGACAGTACTTTTTACATAATCTTCTATACGGAAAACCGTCAATCCGTGAATCATGGCTTATCTTGCGGGGAGGAGGACATTGACAAATGGCAGCTTGGTTTCTTTTTTGTCGATTTGACGCGAGCTTAGTGTCATTATCGCGTAAAATATCCAGCTAATGATTCTTCCAGCGCGCATTATGTTTCCATTACATCGATCTTTCCTCCATACGATTCACGGGCGTGCAATTAATTCGAATCGCGTACTTTGCATCCGTCGAATTATGACGTAATTCGCTGGAGATACCAGTCGTAAGGAATCCTTGTTGAATAAAAAAAAAAATATACATATATATTGCGATTTAACAAACGTTGCATTCGAATCGCGTGCGATACGCTTCGACGCTCGACAAATCGAGGATCGCACGTTATTCACACGTCGATCGGACTTCACGAGGTATCAGATAACGATGCGGTCGGCAAATGGCAAAATTGCGCAACGAGCATAATCGTCAGAAATATCAATTTGTGGCCTTCTCTCAAAGTAAGCCGTTATCGTGCCTTTAATATAAAAAAAAAAGAAAGGAAAAGAAAAATGCCACCTCCGATACGGATCGCCGCATTCGCCGCAAGGAACGATCGATTCCTCGATCGTTTTCCGAAAGCGGCGATTCGCGCGGGCCGATTAACGGCCCCTCGGGCGACGGGCGCTCGGGGAGTAGCCGTCGACAGCTACCGGGATTGACGCACGTCGCTAGCCGCTCCTCGCATAAGGTACCTCACCGTCGGAAAAGGAAAAAAAATCAATCACGCGAAACGGGCGGGCGCGGGCGAATAGAACGGGCCGCCTCTCCGGCGAGGCGACAGGCTCGCAGGGCCGCCGACAGGTGCAGCGCGAAACGAAAGGGTGAGAGAAAGAGCGCGCGCCGCTCTTTTATACCTGGCGTGGCGGGGCCGTCCTGCAGGAACGCGAGCCAGATCTTCGAGGTCTGCCAGAGGAGCAGGCCGAGGAGCAGCAGGAACACGAGGCGCCATCGGAAGCCTAACCCCATCGTCCCGGCTGTTGTCGCGGCGAGAGACGCGCACGACTCTCTCCGCTTTCCGCGCGGCGCGGCCGGCGCGACGGCGGTGACGACGACGACGGCGACGGCGGCCTCGTTAGCGCGGCCGGCTGACGCAACGCTGACGTTCTCCTGGTTCTCCAGTGTCGAGCGGGCCGGCGGCGACAGCCGACATAGCGATAGCGGCGCGACGCGCGACGCTCGTCCGATCGATCTCGAGTCTCACAGGTCACAGGACTGTCAAGTCCTCGAATTATACTCTCTGTCGCTCTCGCTCTCTTGCCTTTCGCCAGTCTCGCCGCGATTCGAGACAGTTTCGACACGCGGTATACCGACGAGATCGAACGGGATTTACAGCTGCCGCGTGTCGAATCGCGCGATTTGCGAATGTTTTCTTTCCCTTTTTTAATTCTCTAGCTCTCTCTTATGTTCTCGTCTTCTCGTCCTTTCTCGCGGCATTATCGCACGCGGCGATGCAGCATGATGCAGCATGCAGCTCGTGACGTTGCGACGTTGCGTAAAGCTCCTATCAAAGCGTGTATTGTGGACTGTAAAGTTGGAGAGAGAATTTCGACCAATCGGATAACTTTCATCTTAGTCCGCTTTAGCTCGGTTGATCAAATTTCAATTTCCAATTCGCAAATTCCTTGAAAAAAATCAAAATGGTTTAATACAAATTTGAATTTTCCTTTCTCCAGCTATACGCTTCTCGTGCTTTTCTTCTAATTTCCTCGATCTTGATTCTTCTCGCACACATTGTATATATTTATTTTTTTATTTCATTCCGAGTGTTTTTTCTACATAAGTAAAAGTATAGTGCACTATACGAAGCTAAAAAGGACGTCGCAGACGGAAAAATTGCGATATCCTTTTTTTGAAATTTTGAAATGCACCGATGCGTAAAAGCGCGAGCCCCTGTGGACCTGCGCAATGATCGATTCTGACGGTCGCGGAATATCCCGTGAGTTTGATTAATTCTAGCTAATGTCATTAATATATATAAAATTGATATACATTGAGCTTCTGTGCTTAATAACAATTTTAGCAGTAATAATAAAATATATGGGCAATTTTGTAATTTCCTCAATTTTTAAGTGCAAATTGTAATGAGGAATGACAAGTATAGATAAGATTCCACTTTACTATTTATTATATTTCATAGTATTAAATAAATAGCAAAGTAGAAAAGATTCAGTAGTGTCAAGTTACTGTTGTATTACATGTAAATATACTTCTAAGCAAATAAAGCGGCGCGCTATAAATAACACCGACAATGGTGATAGACTTGAATTTTACTGATTATTATAAAATTTACTTGTTTCTTTATGATCGCTATATAGTGGAAATATATCAATTAAAGTGAGAATCAGGATATTATTTCTTTTATCTTATTATTTCAATATCTTATATTTGCGAAATTTATTGGCGCGTTTTGATCATCAGTACCTACCAGATACCAAGGACGATAAACTAACGAAAAACTAACTTTTACATTTACGCGCGATTCCTTAAATTACTTTTCCTCTTGAAATATTTACATATTAATAAAGTTTTCCTCAGGAGATCAACATGATGATTATAAATAAACAATATGAAAGCTTATAACGTTTCCTTGCGAATATTATAATCTTGAATGTATTTGCGTTTCTTGTCACGCTGATCTTACATATTGATGTAGGGGATCACAAAAAATAGAAAAAGGACTACCAAATCCCTAACTTCACGTAAATCTAACTAAGAAATTTATCTGTGACTCCCTCTGATTTTTAAGGCTGAGTTGTCAACTCCAACCCGGTCCGCACCAGGCCTTATGAGACCACTCATTCTCCTTTCTTTTAGATCCCTAGGCTCAAGAAATATAAAGCCCCAGGATCTGATCTTTTGCAAGAATTGCAAGACATATGTGAGGTGACAGTCAAGACTCGAACGTGAGACCTGTCGACTACCAGTCGGCCGCTTTCACAATGAATCACGCGTCGCCCCAGGGGATCATTGAATTAAAATGTCTATTGTTATTCGGATATTACAGGAATCTGGCAAAAACACAGGATGTAAACATATCGCTTCGGAGACGATCAACAACTGTCGCCAGCGTCTCATACCTAAAACATATTTGAGCGAAATGCAACAAAATTGATGATTATTAATTGCGATTGTTATACGCAACGCTTTGAGAAATAACGCTTGAGTGATTAATATTGAATCATAATTAAGAGTTTAATGAGAGAACTTTTTACTGATTTACATTACTAATATAATTCTAAAAGGAGTCTTAATAAAAGACATAAACTGTCTTTATAACTTATAATTGGAGGGGTGAAAACCACATTGGTGTAAGTCAAATATTTAAAAAATTTTGACTTACACCAATGTGGTTTTTACCTCTCCAATTAATCTCAATGACGATTAATAATTAATTGGGTTATTTTTATCAATTAACAAGGCATTTAAAATTCAGTAAAATAACTTTATTAATCAATTAAAAATAGATCGTTAAGTTAATATAGATATTACTAATTGTCACTGATTTACTTGCAAAATCTTGTTGTTACTATTCACAAGACGCACGGCCAAACTTGCCCGGCGATAAATTTTTGATGGCCACTTTTGATGATTTTTGCCTCACCGAGAAGATCATTTTGCTTGAATTTAGTTTTCTATGTTTTCCAGTTCTGCGAGAAATGTTCTGCACTTATTCTTGAGTACTTTAACGGCTTCCGCGAATAGCACGGCCGGCGGTAATGTTCCCACAGATTCTATGGTGACTAGAAATCAAGAATACACACAAATCAGTTTATATATGTAAATTTTTCAGCTGTCATAAGCAATAACTTCAACATTTAGTGAAACGTTTGTGACTTAATGACTATAACTTAAATTTTAATTGATTCTTCCTTTTTCAACGATTTTTAGATATCTAGATTATTCGTACTTACAGATAAAATGATCCTTTATCCGACTCAGTTCCACGCAATTTTTTAGTTGATCATAACGATAGACGTTTCTGGTACAGCTGTCGTAGCGAGCGTTTTTGACACGCGCCTCGCGGTATTTCTGACCCGAGTTCGTCTCTTGTTCTACCACTTCTATTACGCCGGGGCTGAAACAGCTCTGCAGAAGATCCGCGTCCTTATCTCTCACAGGGCTGGTCAGCTGAATGGCCGGCAAAAGGCGATATGATGCAGTGGCTAAACAATTTTTTTTTATTAGGCAACACTGACATAAATAAGACAATTTATTTTAAACAATTTGAGTTGTAAAAAAATGTTTTATTCACAGAACTCTTACGTACCCACAGGAGAAAATTTAGCGTGATCTTGGCCGATGCCTTTGACTGCGTGCATAAACACGTGGATTTCATGACCGGGACGCATTTTACATATTAATATGTCGTTTTCTAGGACACCAAATTGTTCCGCTCCACGTGGAAACATATCTGCTTGCCGACCTATCGGCACCCATTTAATATCCTTACTGCAAACTGTAAAAAGAATGTTGCACGTTACTTTATGTATATCATATTAATATTATGTTTAGAAACTAGCATAATAATAAATAAATCTGTAAAAGCCCATCTCGACCTCATCCCATTTGTGTCTCGGTTTTATAAGAAAATAGCGAGTTAAAAGTTATGAGTAAAGGAGATAAATGATGAGCAATCGAGAATCTATATTTATCATTTACATATTCCATTATGATTGAGAAACGAAATAAACGAAGCTAAAATTATTGTAATCTAATTTGCAATCAGAAATTCAATATAATAAGAAGAAAGAGATGTCTAGTCAAGTACCTTTGCTATTCCTGTACATATCCTCTGGAAGACGAGAGTTCTTTGGCGCTTGTGGATTCACACTACACGTGACCTTCAACTCATATCTTAGAGTATCTTGATCACTAACCTCATCATCCGCTCTCCCGTTGTTCGAAGGATACTCAAATAATCTAGGGTCTGCACGAAGAGGTATAAGGCCCAATCTTGAAGGCAAAATACATGTTAATTTGTTGTACAATTTGTTGCATAATGTTCATAAAGTAAGAACATTCAATGTAAAAATGGAAAAAACTCATTAATGTTTCTCTCACCTATGTGCAAGTACTTCGTCTTGGAGCAAGCTAGTATTATTTATGATGTACACCTGCTCAACAGCCATACTTGGCACTTCACTTAGAAGTATCCTACGAAATGCATTAGCTAGCGAAGTATGGCAGCCAATTAAATCGAATTCTATTTCTTTGTCCTCTTCGCGTACTATATTTATCTTTAACTTCTACAATAAGAAACACATGTTTACTTATATATATCGATACATGTATTGACACACGATATATTGTTTTCTTCATGATGTGTTACCTTTATAAATTTCTCAAGTGCCGTTGACTTGTCTGATGTGTTATACGCATATTCTTCAAACTGTTGAAACAAATTTGTTATATATACACATTGTATAAAGTAAAATGTATTAAGTGATTCCCAACAAACTTACACATTCATGCTCCCTCATAATCCATCGTGGATCCCTTTTCTTCTCCATTATTTAATTATACTTGGACACCTGAGGTTTGTAATATTACTGTTTCTTCTTTTCAGTAATAAGTAACACCTCTAGTAACACTCCTAAGCAACAGCTCTACTACTGATTTTTTAATACTTAACAATTTTCTTGACCTGCAATTGCTGTCTTTTGAATCCTTACTTTTGGCATGCTCCAACAAACTCCAACTGTAAAAAGATTCTTTTATTGGAATTGTTCAACAAAATATTTCTAAAAAATCCAGCAACAATTGAAGACAATGAAAATATTAATAAAATAATAAATATGTAGGGTAGCTTTGACCAAACTCAGACCAACTTAATCAACGATTAAGTTGTCAAGTAACTTATCAATTTGGATAGTTATTTAATGATTTGAGGGAAGGAATAATTAGATTGCCGACGACGAATTACAGCCGGTTGTTGTAAATAATTTTGTTGATTGAATTTATCGCTAATTGAATAATCGGAGTTTAGTCGATTGAAAATCACTTTTAGGCTCTGAGGGAGTAAAGCCGGTTCTACAATATAAATGTGTTATTTCTGATTGCCAGTTACTGTCGCTAAAAAAAGTTAAAAGTTCGCCAACTCTCTTTTGACAAGCGCAACGTGGAAATAACACTTCAACCAGCAGTTGCCATATATCGTTTGCAACGTATTGTAGAACCGGCTTGACACAGAAGAAGAGCATTATCAGGATTCACGTGTACCGGATTGATAGACCCCAAGACCTAACCGGTGAATGAAGTTACCCAAAAGAAAAACCGCAACTTGATTGTGGTTAGTGTGGTTACCGCATAACCATGTCTGTGTCATCACGTCTGTCAAGCTTTACGGACAACGGGACGATACATCGCTGAAGTAAAATGCCGTCTTACCCGAAAAATGTTTCAAGTATTGTCGAATCTTGAAATGAGAATGACCACGTGCTCGCTCAAGCCTTCGTTTTTATGCCAGCCAGAACCGGAGCGCTTCTTGGCGCTTTAAAGCAGTATGCAGTATTGCTGGATTACGTCGCTCGATGTCGCTCTTCCTCGCTTTAAGGCAGGTTTTCATTATCGAGTTAATTTTTATTCGCATTTAAAAAAATACGCGACAGATCGAAAGAATTAAATATCGGAATGCAATTCGAATAAAATGGAAAATAGTAATAGTATAAAATTTCACAACTAAATCGCAAAGCAACATGAAACGTGGCTATATTTTGGATATTCAAAACAGAAAAAGAGAAAGTGCGCGTGAGTGCAGCTGTGCACAGAGGTGCAGAAAGTTAAACGAGAAAGTGCAAGCAAACAGAAGTGACAGCCAAGTGACAGGACTGTTGTTGCGCGCTTCAGAATGTAAATAAGAACGTAATTATGTAATTATATAGTGATAACGCGCGATTTGAGTTTTACGCGACTGTGTCGAGAGACTCGCGATTATGGTCGATTTGGACGAATATAGAGAGAGTGTACGACAGATCAGGCAATACGCGGCCGCTCATAATGTCTCGGAGGCGCAAACGTCGGAAATATTTCGAGCTTGTTTCCGACAATTGGAGGCCAAGTACTCGAGAAGATCGAATAAATCACGGAGGACTCTACGAATTATTTTGCCACTCATCCTTACCTCCGTCGTATTGTTATTTTTATGCCGAAGTTGGTTAAACGTTTTATTTATAAGAATCTCACAAAATTCCATTTACCCCGTTTTATACGTTTTGCGCAAAGCGGCTGTACCGATTGTCAGCCTATATCCGTCGTTATCTGGTTTGTAGTTCACAAATAATTAATATGTCACATTTTATAATAACATGAAAAATAATAGTATATAAGAATTAATATAATATTGGAGTATCTTGTTGCGATATATACTTAGTAATATTTATCACTTCAGAATTGTACGACGAATGGTGCTTGATAGAGAATCCGTATTTCTACGTCAACGATATGGACTGCTGGCCTTGCACCATGGTCCATTCCGTACCAGATTTGACCGGCCACAATATCAGCAGATCCTTCAACGTCGGTATACCATACACTAGAGCGGAGAATAACACGAAGGTGAAGATGAAAGATCTAGTCAATTTATATTGGAATAACCGAGACGTCTTTGACGAAGACGCTAAGAGAATCTCTTCTAACAATGAAACTTTCAAGTTGGTTTCCCCATACATCAATACGATCTACAGAATTTTAAATTGTCCAACATATCTGATTAAATTTGTGCACGTTTTATTACTTGTACAGAATTATCCGTGATGTTATGGGCAAAAGATTGGACACGTTCCGTACCGCTTCCCTTGGCACTCACGTATCTTGGAGAGTAAACCGTATGAGGCCCAGCAGAATACTCCGAAAGTTATTTCCAAAGCCAGCGGAGACCCCGAATTGGTGGAGTCAAGGCACAGAAAAATATTTTTTTATCGACGAATCGAGATCACCGCCTTACTCGTTGGTACGTGTGAAGCATTCTCATTTTGTTGTGTCTCGGCGATGACGGCCAATTTGTAAATTTTCAGCCCAATCCCGAGTGCAGCAATATCGTAATACGGTGCGCGGCTGGTGCGAGACTGATGAAAATGATACCGAGTTCGGAGTGTGCTCAACATTGTAGATCTTCGACCATTTTATTGTCCGCTGGACATACATGTGAGTATTAGAAACTTTACAGAATGATCCGTACTCATTTCTTTATATATTCTTTATATATTTTATTTATATTTTATTTTTTTCTTTTATGTTCTTAAGTATGGTACAATTGGTGGTATTGGAGACCCGTGAGTCTACCAGTGTACAATGCTACTGATCTTTCTATTGGTTATTTAACTTCGTTTTGTTGATATCACCAATAGCAAGAACACGTGGATATGTGCCAAAACGATGCAGCCAATAACGATGAAGCATATTTAGTAAAATTTATATGTTAAGTTTATCTTGGATATTCCTTTTTTATTTATTTTAATTTCAATCCTTGATATATATTCGCGCATATAAGATTTTTTGCGGATTTAGATTTCGAGTAAAATATTATTTCTGGTATAATACAATGCACATGAAATAAAAAAGAAAATTCAGCAGCCTATCAACGTAGAATATTTCCTGAGATCATCTCCTGACATATATTATCTAAAAAATATAGGCTTATTTGTGACACTCATAATAAAATAAGCCGGTTTTCGCCTATATTTGGTTTTCATTTTTAAACGATGTTTTCACGTAATCTAAGACACACTTGTAGAAATAAATTACAAACAATAATAAATAAGTTATGCGGAAGTTGTGCTCGCAGGAATTTGTCATGCTATCTCGTATGCATGTGTCCAATATAAATAAATGCATACACCGTGTGAGAAAGCGGACCCTAATCCCAACATTATTTGCATTTGATATAATTTTTTTTTTTCAATTTTCTAAGAAATTATTCTATAGAATATTCCACTCCACGAACACGATCGGAAAGCTTTCCTAATGTAATATCAAAATGTCACGTTGAGGGTATCGTCGATAGAACGTTTCGACGTTTATTCGAACTTCTTCTTGAGCTTCTGCTTGTACAGCACAGGTAGTAGAGAGAACAACGCGAACACGCACAGTATGATTACACTGTTCCACGACCACGCGTCTCTCGACGACGTGAGATTGTGCAACGTTTGGCCGGCCTGTATGGCGACGAAGGAGGGCGGCGCGACGCCGAAGAAGGTGCCGACGGTGAACGGCATCATCGGCACACCGATCACTGGACTGGCCAGATTGATGAACCAGTTGGGCAGTAACGGCGTCATCCGCAGGAACAGCATATAGTTTAGCAGATTGTCATGATGCTTGGTCACGATGATGGTCCATGCTCTTGCCTTTTCCGGAAAGTATCGGTACAGCAACCGTCTGCCCAGCAGCGAGGACAGCAAGTAGCACAGGGTGGCGCCGATCGCGCTGCATGTGCAGACGAGCAGTAGGGCAATCGGAAAGCGGAACAGAAATCCGGACAGGATTGAGAGAAAGATCGAGCCGGGAATGGCGAATGTTTGCAAGCTATTGAGATGTGATGTAAGGAACACACCGTCTACCTCAGTGCGGGAGATTGAAAAACAAAATTACACGATTTAGAGTATTCAAGGATACAAAATGTAAGTGATGAACAATCCCGCCATTACTTGGAAGTAATATAAGTCCTTATATCGTTCCAACAGTTTCCCCAGATTCTTGGCATCTTCTATGTGAAGCGGCAGCTTCATATATTGCCTTTCGTCTCTATGAAAGAAACACACACAAGGGATTTATATTTATGTCCCATAGAAAACGTATGAAAGCGCGAATGCAAAGATATATGGATAAACGGCTTGTTCTTACTTTTTTAGTTCTGGAAAACTCGTATATACATAAAATAACGCGGTCAATGAGGCTATAAAGATGAGGCCAACAGTTATTACTGCTCTTCTTGTCGAAACTTCATTGTTGGCTGCTCTGGGCACTCCTGCAAAGTATACAAGAAGAATTTTACATATCTATTTAATATATAAATATACTTAATTCTATTTAATATAAAATTGAATATATACTTAATATATAAACTTTAATATTTTAATTTATTAAAATTTTCGTGAACAAAGAAGTTTTCAAAAGAAAAGAATACAGACACCCATATTTCAATTTCGAAAGCGAAAGAAAAATTAAAATACACTGGATTAAATATTGGAGTTATTCAAAGAGTACATAAAACTCGTAATAAGTCAGTAAATATAATAAATTGTGCAGATACACGTGGATCTACCGAGTTTTCCATTCGAACCATCATCGAGTTACTTACGCGCTTTTACACGTGTCACTTCGCGCCGCGCCATTTCTGATAACGCACGCACGTTACACACTCGCAGACCAACTTCCCGACACATTTCTCATTTCCCCCCTGCAAAAAACAATCGCGTGATCCTGTCTCACCTGATTTCACGTTAGCCTTCGAGCTCATCGTTCGCCTTTCTCCGGACATCGCGAGCTCGATTTCCAATCCGCGCGTCTTCTCCGACAGTCTAATCTTATCTCAGTGCATATCAATTGATATCAATCATGTGGACACACAATTGGCATGCAATACTCGCGTCAGAGCGGCTGCACTGTGCAAAACGCCTCCGTCGCCTCCGATAACAGCCTCCGAAACCGAAAATCAGCTGACAGCCTCGTGTTGTCTTGGCATTGGGCACGTTTGGCCATAGACTTACACCGATAGAGAGAGAGACTCGTGCGCTTTCGTTGGAGGTGTGAAGATAATAAGAGAGGACAATAATTGCATAGGTGATGAGAAGAGAAGGAAAGAAACGTGGACACGCATGGACGTAGGAACGAGTTATGTGGATTGAAACGAGGTGAAAATTACAAAAGTGAGAAATTTTACTACCGTACCTACGATTTCATTTGTCAAAATGTAAGTCTATTCACTTTCGTAATTTTACAAACAGATATATATATTACGGTCCTGACTAGAAAAAGATAGATATTCGCTGCAATCGCCTGCTATCCTTCTCGCGCATTGAGACACACTTTGGACTTGCGTCGTGCAATCTGTAGATATACTATATACTACTATAGTATAGGTTATATAGGTATAGGTATACTATAGATCGATGACCTGGACCGAGAGCACATTTCCGCGGGGCTGTAGCTTGAGAGGAAAGGAGAATCTTGATCGATCAAGGTGACGATTAATTACACGCGAGAGGAGAGGAGAATAAAAATATATTGTAAAAGATATGAACCATGATATTAATTTCACGGTCTCGTTCCCATTATAATAAGTGATTCTTATTTTTTCGACTTTGAATTCTTCTGTTTTTGCAGCCTTTTTGCATAACAATCGTCACTCGCAATTCGATTGTGGAAACTTCTTATTTGTTTTACGTTTTCCTTTAGAATTTGGCCTCCGTGCTGTAAGTTTGTAATTCTGTAAAAATATTTTTTCAGAATATTATTTAATTAATAGTTTGTGCTTACGATTATTTTAGTAAGAGATTTTTTAATAAAGAAATTCAAGTTACCCCTCCCCCAAATAAATTAAATGACACTAATCATTTTTTAATATAAAATCATTGGTTTTAATAGCACGTTTTTGTAGACAAAAGATATTTTGTGCTCCGCACTTTTTCTGCAGTTTTATAAACGACAATAAGCGCATATCTTATTTCTTACATAATTTAAGATAGGTATTACTCTATTTTTAATTTTTTTGAAGTTCAGAATAAATTGTATCACTTTTCAAACATTCCATACAAATATCACACTTTAACGTTTCTTTAAATTTTACTATAGCACCAGCAATCTACACGTACATTTTCCTGCATTTCAACAAACTGTTAATATAATGTGAAATATGAATTTTAAACTGCTTATTGTGACTAGCCTATAAATACTGTACAACGTAACTAGTTTCTTCAAATCTTGATACATTGTACTCGATTAACAATAGCAATCAGCAATTAATTGTAACACAGCTAAATATAACGTTACCACAGTTCCTTACCTTTATCAAATCCAAAGCATCACGAGAAAAAAGTCCACGTTTTTTAAGATCATCCATCATTTCTTGTAAATTTCCTACTTTTGTATTTAAATATCTCACTTTGTCATCAAGCTGTTTCATTTTACTCTTGGTTTTCGTTAAATATTCTTGAAAGATGTACCAAGTATCATTTGAAGTAAAATCCTCTCGGCGTATGTCTCCGACATATCTCGGAGTGAGCAAACGCTTTTTGTTACTTTCAGGCTGACCTATTTTCCTGAAAATAAAATAAAATTACAATAAAATTAAAACCATTTTATTTGTCCATATAAATTATTTACAGTATTTTTTTAAAATGTGTAAAAGGTACAATTACATAAAAACCAACCTCTTTAGCTGTTCATCTCTTGCAATCTCATCATCTATTACAGTTTTCTCGCTATTTATGGATTCACGTTCTACATCTGATGTCACGCTTGTACATAGTTCGGTGTCATTTCTAAAATAATATACAAATATATATATATGTGAAATAGATAAAACAATTATTACATAAAAACCAACCTCATTTGATATTCAT